ACCTCTACTGCTCACGTCCATGTATTATTATCTATTAGCATTATAAATATTTAGATCGATTGGTGAATAGAAGTAATTATTTTTCAAGCAATCAATTTTTAAAATAACATTTTTATTGTTATTACATTATGTAACATTATATTATCCAAGCAAATGTTATGAGTTCAAAACCGAAATTTAATATTTTCGCTTACCAAACGGGAGGATATATTAAATACTATTATTGCTTGCATCTCATTTTGCATGAAGCTGATTGTTGCGTTCTAAATCATTTAGCAGATTCCTTTAACAACAATTTATAACAGTGCATTATTGTTACTTGCACTAAAAAAATTACTGTAAAATGGTTAATAAGATTAGACCACCTTTCTAAATAACTTTATCTTCAAATGTAGAGCAGGATTACATTATAATGATAATAAATTAAAACAACTATCTTATTCTTAAACTCTTGAATTAAATGCCTAGTAATAGCAGTACAGGAAAATAAATAACTTTTAATTAGGGATACAAAAGTATTTATAGAAAAACAATACCTTTATGACTTAATTTTATGCAGATGACAACCAAAACAATATAGATTTGAATGAGGGAAAACTGAATCCTATCACGTGATTTTCCAACCAATCAAAATGCATGGACAACAATGGAAAAGTTGGATATCATCATTATATTTTTACATATAGTAAGACAAATCCCGGAGCAATGAAAGCCCGTATAAGAAATTAAAAAAATGGAACTGGAATAAATATTTAAAATATATTTCTGTCACTTGTGAACATTGAATCAAGATAGTGACTTTTTCCAACTATAAAAAGGAGTATGGAAATAATACTATTCCGCCATAGAGAATTGCTCACATTTAATTCTGAGGCGTAAAATTCAGCATCTGACTATTTTGTCCTTTAAAGAGGGATTATTAAGCTGAAGGAGTTCAAAAATTTAATTAAATCACACCATTCCTCAATCTAAGAGACCATTACCATAACCATGCAAATGCTCTCTTCATCTTTCACCGTCATAAATTAAAGACTGAAAAATCAATTGTTCAATTTTTTATAGAGTGAATATACAAAAATACTTTGGGATATCCAACATATTCCTTAAGGGAATATTAGATTAATAGGAAGGAATATGTTATGCTCAGTTCAAGTTTGGTTTAAATGTTTATGTATAATGTGAATACTTTTAAATGAAAAATCTCTCCGTTAAAAATTATTTTCATTTTGAATTGTTTTTATTTAAAGTTTAATTAAAAAAATAATGTTATTAATTTCGTATTTTGTAGAAAAGAATTTTTCTAACTAATTAAATATTATTTTGTCAATAACTATCAATATCTTAGTTATGGTGCGAAAGATACAAGATATCGCTAAGCTTTTAAACAAAAAAAACTGCTCAAATATTTAGGGCACAACTTAGAATTAAGAATAGTTCTAAAAGAATTTAAATGCCGTAAAAATATTTCAATATGTACCAGGGCACAATAAAGGTATATATTTCTACAACTAATGCAATGGTATTATTGTTTCAAAATTAATGCAGTAATTGAAGAAGTTCTAAGACCATGGTGACTATAATAATTTTATCGGAGTTATTTTACTATTAAATTAGAGGCATATATTTAATAAGCTATGGTATTATATTTTAAAAATTTATGCAAAAACCGAAACACTTTCAAAACTCTTTTCTCTATAATCTTTTTTCGATATTATTTTACTAAAATATTGGAGACATGTTTCGTCAACCAGAACTATGGTTTCAAAATTAATGCAGTAAATAAAGCACTTCTAAAACCATATCGACTACAATCATCTTATCGAAATTATTTTACTTCATTTGTATTAAATTATTTGTATTTCGTCAGCTAGCAATATCGTATGAAAGTTTCAAAATTAATGCAGTAATTGAAACATTTAGAATAATGATGAGTACTTTTGTCATATATAAGTTTTTTCACAATCGAAAAAGAGATATATATTTCGTTATCTGGTACTATTTTAATAAATATTTTTTTCTGCCTCCTTTAATCGAATGGTAATATGATTTCTATGTGGTTGTATTAGACAGAGATGTTAGAAATACTAACTGTATTACGATCAAATTACTATAATTTAAGTAGTAATCAAATGAAAATATCAGCCTCTTTGTCATCTAATACTACAATATTCAAATGGAGATTTTTCAAATAAGAGTACTTTTTTACTTTCATTTATGATACAAAAATATGCAAATTTAACGATATCAGCTAATCGGTGTTCAACTGCATTAAAATAATCGCTTAAAAATATTCATTAATTTTCGTCTTTTTTAAAATTTGTTTTGAAAACTTGTTATAGTTGAAAAAATATATACTTTTAATTAATAAATCGTTTTCAAACTATTATTTTCATTATCGTACATCTAGGCTGCTTTCACCTAACACGCTAAGCAAGAAAAGATGAATTATTTTTTGAGACAGTCATTCAAATCATTAAAAAAAAATAATCTAAAAGAAGGAACTTTTTTTATTTTTGCAATTATAGCTTCTTGCTGTAGGGAATTAAGTATTAATATTGCTGTATTGCCGCAAAGGAAATATTATAGATACTGTATAGGAGTTCAAGAGTTTTTAATTTTGAAGACTAAAAATTAAAATTTAAATTTACTGCCTAAACAAGAAAAGGAGAAATACAAATTAATGTGCAAATAGTTTAAATAAATATATGGTAAAATGCTTTGACATTAATTTTTATGCTCTATATTTGAATACTAGTTAAAATCTTTATTTACATAAAAAACGCAAAGTAAAACTTAATATAAACTATTTTTAATAAAATAGGGGCAAAGTAACTGTCCAAATAATTGCCCATCATATAAAAATTTGTAACATTTAAAACAGATTTACTTGATTAGAAACTTCATTCATTTCAAAAATATGCAAATTGGAAATAACGATAGTTATGTTTCAAGCACTCAAAAATAGGCACCCATTTTCAAGACTTGCCAGAAGTAAATGAAAAAAAAGTGACTTGAAACTAGAAAAAACGTTGCCAGTGAAAAATGGAAAAATAAAGATGAAACGCAAAACTACAAATATCACAGTGGTGAAAATTTCAAAACCATTTTTGCGATTTCTCAAGTTTTTTTTCTTCTTTTCTCATTCTTCTTTTTTTTAAATTTTCGTTGGCAACTTTATGTTTTGTATTTCAAATCACTTTTGCTTATTCTCACACAAATCCAGCATATCTTGAAAATGGGCGTGTATTTTTGAGATCTTGAAATCCGCCCATTGTTATTTCCAATTTGAGTGTTTTTAAGGGGAATAATTTAAATTTAAATAATTTTTTTGATTGCATCTCTTGTTGAAGTATAATAGTGCTAAAGTATAACATTAAATTAAATTTTTGAATGTCAGTCTTTATTTATTCATTTATGTCAAAATCAGAAACAGCTTTTTAATCCTTTCAATTTTTTTCAATAGTTTTGTTAAAGTAACCTTTTAGAAAATAAGGAGGTAATTAATAGAAATGTGCATAACAAACATCATAAAAGAAATCAATCATAGTAAATGTTAAGAAAATAACTTATAAAATTATAATAATAAATATTTAAACATAAATTTTAATTTGCTAAACACTTCTTTATTTTTATTATTTAAAAAATAGTTAAAAAGAGAATTACTCACTACACAGAATTATTCAATACATTTAACAGCAAATTTATCAGCAATTAATTGTTAATATTATGTAGTGATTTACTTATTTATATATGTAGTGATATATTATATATGATAGTGATATATTATATATGATAGTGATATAATATTATGTAGTGATTACATTATTTTGTGAAGCGACTTATAAATGTAATACAAAAACTCTTAAGTCAAAGCTAAGTCATGAAATCATGGTCATTTATTTGCCTGAGAAATATCTTATTCATAAGTGTTGAAAAGTATTTCAAAAAAACTAACTACTCTTCTAGCTCACAGAAAATTTGAACCCTAAGAAAAAAAGTATAGTAGCAACTACCAGATTATAGTAATATTTACAGTTCTTCTGGCTCTATGGGGACTCAATTATTTTTACCAGAGCGCTTTGATCAAAGTGAGAAAGCAATAACTCTTACGTCAAAGTTAAATCATGAAATTATGGGTATTTATTTGCCTGCAAAATATTTGATTCATATGCTGAAAAGTACTTTTTGAAAAAACTAAGTACTCTTCCAGTTTACAGAAAATTTGAACCCTGAGAAAAAAAGTATAGTCTTAACTACCTGAACATAGTAAAATTTACAGTGTTTCTGCCTCTATAGGGACTCAGTTATTTTTACCGGAGGGCTTTGGTAAAGATTTTGGTAATTAGCAATAAAATATAATCTTATAATGATAAAATTTAGTGATTTGAATAATAAAACTTGATAAATGTGACAAAATGTAATAATTTTGTCATGATACCTTACTTAGAACATTGCATAAGAAACATTTATTTATTTATTTATTTTAAATAGCAGGCACTGAACTTTATTCTTCGCCTTAGAAGATGCCGGAATTGTTACCCATTTTACGTTACCCAGTGGGCACCTGTGAACCTAAGTCACGGAGGCGAGCAACGTTACCCACGCCACACTGCCACAAACCCGTTCATAGGGTGGGACACATTCACACATCACACACAACAGAGAACAACACAAAGAGAGAAACATCCATGCCCAGAGCAGGATTCGAACCCGCAGCCATTGGTTTCTCAGTCAGGCGTGCCAACAGCTCGGCCACCTGGCCGGCTAGGAAACATTTATTTGGTTAAATTTATATTTCAGTTCGTATTTTTTATTGACTACATGGTAATGAGATCTGTAATTTTGAAAACCAGAATTTTCGGTGAACCGTTACCAAAGTAATGGTTTGAATAACGAATTTTGCAGTTTTATCAACCAGAATTACGCTGCTGTTTTTATTTTACCAGAAATGCAATTACCATACAATTCAGTATTTTTACTTAAATGTTTTCCTCCGTGAACGTGTTTTACTATTAAAATTTTATTATGATACATTATGATACAGCAAATGAAAAAAAAATATTATATGACTAAACACTCTTTAGCTAAATTTCATCACAAAACCAGCAATAGAATTCATTCTTTGCCAGCTTGCGCAGTTCCACCAAATCAGGGTATTTACATACTTCAATAGGACGAATATTTTTCACTGCATTTGAATTACACTTTCCATAGAAATGCTGAGGCAATTTCAACTCTGAAATCCACTCAAGATTGCAGCCGCAATCGATTGGATTACCTGAAGCAAAATCAACAATTACTTATACATAAGTTTTAGCAATAATATATAGAGAGAAATACTACTCTGAAATACTACTTTTTAACACAATCAACTCTTTTATTCATTTAGTTCAACTTCGCACAGTAATAAATAGATTTCTGCTGCTTTTCCAATAGAAAAGTTCAGTTCTTAAAATCAGCAGAAATATGAGTTTAAAATTACATTTCATTCCATCAAGAGACACGTTGTTTTAGTAAGCAATTAAAATCTGTTGCCACTGTGACACATTTCATACGTTAGGTGCAGATCTTTTTTTTTATTTCGAATATTTCTGATTTTTTTTTCCTTTTTTTGCTCTGGTAACAATCCTGCCATAAAAAATTTAAAAGAACAATACAGAACTAAATATAAAAGAACAAATTAAAACTAAAGAACAGAATAAGGTATGTTATAAACTAAGACTTAAAATAATTATCTGAATCATGTTTATTGTAAAAGAAAACCGTATGTAAAATAATGAACTCCGACTTTCAATTAAAAGTAAGTTGTTAAACTCAGATTTTTAACAATTCGAGGAAAAGCTTAGACTCCTAACTAATTTTTTTTTAAAAATACGAGTCTAGCATTTATTACCTCATTATTACCAAACAATACAAGCGCCATAAAATGAAATTACTTTGCCCAGTCAAAAGTACATTAAAAATGTGCATGGTGTTAATTTTTTAATTAAATGGGTTGAGGTTTTATGGTTTTAGACGTAATGCAGAAGAATCAATTTGCAAAAGAGTCAATTTCAAGACAAATAGTTTATTCCAAGCCAAATTTTAAATGTGTTAAGTTCGTACCGAAGCAACGACATTAGGTACCGAAAGTCTTAAAGTTTTACAAAAAAAATGGAAAAAGTGGATAGATATTTAAGTTACTTAATTGTCAAATAACACTGTAAAAAATAGATTCTGAAGTCTCACAAATTCTTCATTTTTCCTTGTAAATGCTCCGAGAAAACATTTCGTCAAAATTACGAAGTAACTGTCGTCTCTTCTTGGAGAAAACGAATTTCGTCAATAGTAAAGAAATACTTTGTCATTCTATTTTATTTATTCATTTTTTTCAAGAAAAAAAATCCTAGTGGTTCATATATTCAAGTTTTCAAATAATAACTTTATACAGCTTTGACAAAGTCAACTTAATAATACTAGGAAATAAATAGAACAGAGAGATAAATAGATAAGTTATACCCATGTCCAAAAAGGGATTCGAACTCGGGATCTTTCTATCACGTTGTCTACTACTTGACCACCATACTACCGGTCGGCATATTTAGTCACTTTATCGTCAAGTTTTCATCCTAGTTTCGTTATTCAAGTTAACGATTTCCCACAACGAACTACGATAGGTTTCGTGTCGAGGAAACATTTTCGTCATATATTTGAGACTTCCCATTATGTCACAAATTACATAATTTCGTAACGAAATAATACTCAAAATTAACTAAATATTGCTCAAGGATAGCTGAGTCGTTCAAAGTAAGAGTTGAATTTAAACTCGACAAATACTTTGAACGGTTAATTAAAATTTGCGAAGTTTTCCAGTCAGAACAAAGAGCGTTATAAGAACGTATAGCATATGATTGTATTTAGTTGATATACAGGGTGTTTTGCAATGATATATTTTTCAATTCTTATATGCACACATACATATCAAATTGTGCACATTAAGGGCTGAAAATTAATATTTAATCAGAAAAAAAAACACAAAAATGCTAATAAGTCTCATGAATCTATAGAGTAAGAGCCGTTCTGTCAACATTTAAACATGTTTGGTAGAATGAGAAAACGAATGTAAAATATCATCTCAGGTAATAAACTAATTTTGCTGATTTCCATCCCGTTTTACTCACTATCTACTCGATCGAATCAAATAGCTTGTTCTTATCTTGATCGAATAAAAATTTGTGATCCGAGTGTATGCATAATTTTGACTTCAGCCTTGGCAAGAATAAGGTTGTTATTTGTAATGACACTTGGACAAGCAGTGCTCACCAGCCATTGGCCTTTTGAGATTTAAGTCAGGGAGGTGCGCCTTTCATTTGACAAGAAAGCACATCGAGAAAAATACGATTTAGCTCAGAACCTCACGGATAGATGGCAGCACTACTCGTTAATGAGGCCACTTCCTAAATTTAGACATAGATCAGAAAGGAAAGGAAATTTTTCCTGATCCTTGTACCCATGGTACTCCTCAGCGACCAACCACAAGATTTTCGATTCCACAGATATTAAGAGCTAGCGCTAGAAAGAAAAAAGTGTACTAAACTCCTTTATTAGGAAGCAGCCATCATAAAGATTGGTATAAAAAAGTAATTTCTAATGTAAAGCAAAGCATTTTTCAACTATTTTAAAACTGAATACTTTACTTTTAACAAAATAATAATGACAACTGATATACCGGTATTTATACGTCTTTTATTTTACAAAAAATGTAATTCTACAATGTTAAATGTTGAAAATTGTGAGGTTTTAATGTCTTGAAAAACATTAAGAAACATAATAAAAAGTGGCAGGCCTATAAAAAGGTTCAAGTGGCAGGCCTATAAAAATATTTAAGTGGGAGGCCTATAAAAAGGTATAAGTGGCAGGCCTATAAAAAGGTATAAGAGGCAGGCCTATGAAAAGGTTTAAGTGGTAAGCCTATAAAAAGATATAAGTGGCAGACTTTGGGCATTGTTATTATACGAAAGACTTTTTTTTAAAGAAGACTTTTTTTCACCAAACTGTTTACTGTTGATTCACATTGCTCTATAAAAGGCTTCAAACGAAATTTTTTTCTAGATATTCACCACAATTTCAGAGAAAACATCTTATTGATTTCACGGAAATCGTGGTATTTTAAACAAAAAATACCTTCTGAAGAATTTGAAAATGCTGCTTATCTTTAAATTGAACTTAATCCTTCATATAATTAATAATTCGCACTTTCATACGCCCTTAGTTATGAAACTAGTATGTTTTTCTCTATAATAATCAATTCATTTGTTATATATTTTGATCAAACAAATTGAAAATTATAATTGGTTGTGGATAAATTAGATTTCTTCCTTTTCATACATAGTTCAAACCGTATTTAATAAGTATACATTATTAGATATATATTTTATGCAATTCAATAGAAAAGATACTTACATTTTGCATAGCGAAAAGTTAGTACATAATGCGAGTAATTTAATATTTCGACTACACAAAACACTTATGTATTGTGAAGATATTTTACAAAACTCCTATTTTTCATGAATTAAACATGCATTTGATTCAGTTTCCCCTCCTCTAAAATTGAGACTTATTTAAATTGAAATTGCAAACAAAATTATGGTACTATATAAACCTTTAATTTTGCTACATACTTTTCGTTGCACATTCATAATGTTAAATATGGTGAAATAAAATGAAATTCCTGAATAGTGAAAGTCGGTTATTTAACATAAATATTCCAAACTTGAAGATATTCAAGCTTCAAGTAGATTCAAGAAAGTTAATTTAACAAGTCAAGGCTTATTTCAGTAAGAGAGAGGCGTACAATAACATATGGAAGAGAAGCATTCAAAACGCTGTTAAATACAAACTGTGAAATTCCAAACTTTCCAACTCTCCAAATAGGCTTTCGAGCATTCATTTTCCGCGAGAGTATAAAGTTTATTGTTAACCAAATAAAGTATCCATAATTCAATTATCTCAAGAATAAGTTTTCCGGTAGAAGTCCCATTTTCTTGCCAATTTTTTTCACTCCACCGGAATTTAATTGTGGCCAGGATATAGAGTGTTACATATGATAAATATAATCGATGGGTATTTTATTTATTTCTCACTAATTGTAGTCTCTCATTTAAATAATTTATTTAGAAGAAAAATAATTCATTGTATATATAAAAGTTATAGGGGAGAGTCGGGTAACCCCGCCCACTTAAAGGAATATTGCTTATATTTCTGTATAATATTGAGTAATAATCAATATTTTTGTATGTTTCTATTGTTTTATCATCTAATTAAATAATGCAAGAAGAATAAACTAAAAAAAAGAATAGTTCTTAAAAATAGAAATTTAAAAAAACATATTTTTCAGCTCTTTTAAAAATGTGTCGGGTAGCCCAACCCAGTTACAAAAATTATGTTTTTTGACTGCTTTTTCAGGTGCAAATGAAAATGACCAATGTATTAACAATAGATAAACCTCATTTATCATTTTTATCACAAAATTATTTTATTTATTACATATTTATATACTTTTAGTGAATTCTATCATTTAAGAGCAATCATTTAATAACAACAATATTTGTTGTTAAAAATGCATATAACATTCCAATTTGAAGCAAGAAAATAATAATCTTTGCAATCGTACATTTATAGACGAAATAAAATTGGACGGTGATACCCGACATTCATGTGAGCGGGGCTACCCGAAATCCAATTTTTTTGTAAATTTGAAATCACTCGAACAATTTTTCGCATATAAACTTCTTTCATTGTGCAAATTAAACTTAAGACATACTTTAATGCTGCATGTATAGAAAAAATTATTGTTTTAGTATTAAAATGGTTTAATCGAAACATTCAACCAATTTTTCTTAATTTCATGACTACTGTGTTCAACATATTTTCAAAACTATAGTTTACCATGTTATCAGCTGCATAAATACTTGAAACTTTGAAAATATTCTTTTCTTAATATAACAATTAATGTCTGATGGCCCATTGACATGAAAAAATATTCTATTCATATGAAATTGACAGTGGGCGGGGGTACCCGACACTCCCCTACATTATTCGAATATTAGATATTTTGAGCAAATATATCACATGAGTATAGTTTACTACTTGCCTCATAAAACCACTACTTTTCCTTCATCAAATATGGGATATAGTTTTAATTTATTCGATTTCTTAAACTATGCTTCTAAAATTGAAATAATTCACATTAAATTTTCCCTCAAAAAAATAGTAAACAATTTATATTCACAAAAATAATGTAGCAAAAAATATACACTTTGTTGCACAAAACTTCTATGTAACAAAAAAATTGAAACATCAGATAATTCATAATAATAATTGGAAAAATTTATGTAGCTACATTCTTGACCTCATAATATTCTGTTATTTTGTTTGATATTCTACACAGAGAAAAAACATGTCCGATCAAACTACCGTGTTTGATCATACTTTTGGTCAAATGTCCAGCATGGGCAAATTTACCGCGTTTCTGGTTCTGAAAATGCTCGACCAAAGTGTTTTAATAATGACGTTATTCAAATTAACAATAAAATATGGCTTTAAATATATGATAAAGTTTGATAATTGTGGTCAAAATGGCAATTTTATCAAAATACTTTAAGTATGACATAGAAACCATTTATTTGGTTAAATTTTCTTTTTTGTTTTGAAATTTTTACTAAATGTATGTTAACAAAAACTATAATTTTGTCCAAATAAAGTATTTATAATCCTATTCAGCTCAAACTAATTTCAACCCTTTAATTAAATTGTTCATATAGAAAAAAATTATTATATATGGAAAAGTTACAAAATAATCTATAAAACATAGAATAGGGGAGAGTGGGGTCAATTGCAACAGGGTACGATTGTAACAGAGCAAAAATTTTGAGTGTCGGGTTCTAGATTTGGTTCCTAGGTGGCGCACAAGGTGTATTTAATAAATCTACATGTACACCCCTGCTGGCAACCATTTTTATGTACTTTTGAAAGAGTTGCATCACAAAAGATATTTTCACGCTACGTAAGTACTTTTTTTGGTATTAGAATATTATATTGTAACAAAGTAATTTTGTTTTAACAAATAAAAATTATTAACCGAATATGTAAGAGGACACCTTAATTAACATTTCAAAAAAAATATTAGTTTTGTTAATTTGTTAATTAACTAGCATTGTTTTTAACAAATGAAGCTGAAATGGCGTCTTGGGGACGATTGTAACAATAAGTAAACGGACGATTGTAACAGCTGAAAATAAATTATCTTATGTTTACAAACCATTACTTAACTCTTTAAGAACCACCAATAGTTTCCTATATCATTTATATTATGTCGCATGTGCATTATTTTATTCGTCACCTTTCACAGCATGAATTAAAATCTTTAACCCTTTATAGTTAAAAGTTTAACCCTTTAGGTCTCTGCTTCATTATTATTTTTACTCCTAAAATATCACTACTATTTTGATCAATAAAAAAATCTATCACAACTGTGATAATATGTATAATTAACTACGTTTTAGTTGAATTTATGAACTGTTACAATTGACCCGGTCAGTGGGGACAATAGTAACAAGTGCACGACTGTCAAAAATTTTTAATAACTAGTATAATAAAATTTAAAATAAGGTATTTATTATTTTTTTTCTAGTGGAGGATAGTCTCTCATCTGTCAATTAATACTAATAGTATATTGCATTTTTTGTTAGTTAAAAATAGTTAAGTAAAAACTGTTACAATTGACCCCACTCTCCCCTTTTAATTATAAAATAAATTATAAAATGTCGAAAATTTGAAGCTTATAAAAAGTTAATGCATAATTTGAGTGTTCAATATTTTTAACAAACACACTACGTGAGTACAGCTTAGAACATTAGTAATTCCATATAAAATTACGGTAAAATGTACTGCTTCCACCCCGAATACATCATTTATATTATTCATTTTACCTTAAAATCCATTTTTCCAAAAAAACTCTACACCATAAACATTGTAGTAATATTTACTTCATTTCAATGATTTTACAGTAAGCAGTTTCGTAAAAATTACGATATATCAGATTAATTTCACGGTTAAGAGTACCGGCACCCCGAGTGTCATACTTTTTGTCATAACTAGATCCGGAATTTTTTGCGGTGTAGACATTTCAAAAAAAAATTCTACTTTACCTTCATTGAATACGTAATATATCGCACAATTGATTCACCTTCATAAAATGTTTTCTTTTTAATTTTAATATTGCAATTTTAATTTCCATAAAAATAATAAATAGTCTCTTTTTATATTAAAACAAAAGAAAATTTATACTTTGTGGTGTGAAAAATCTGTAGAACTGATATGTGATATTAAATATTATAAAAATAATGTTTTAGATCGTTTGCTTGTAGAAATTCATGAAATCGTAAAAGTCCGTTATTTTGCATAATATTCTAAACTTGGAGCTATAAGACTTCAGGAATATTCAAGAAAGTTAATTTAGCAAGTCAAGTCTCATTTCAATAACAGAGAGAAGCGCAATAACATATGGAAGAGGGTTATTCAAAACGATGTTAAATACAAACCGTATAATTCCACACGTTCCAGTTCTCCTAAAATGGGTTTCCATACATTTTCTGCAAGAGTAGAAAGTTTATTGTTGTCTAAATAAAGCCTCCGCAATCCGAACATCTCATCGAATAAGTCTTCCGGTAGAGAGCGCAGATTGTTGTCACTATGACAGAGAAAAAGAGCTTTTACAACCCATGTTCAAAATAAAGTTTATCTTTAAATCAAAGCACTCTGAGTAAGTGTTTACGTTTCCTGAGAATTTAAAAGGACCTTTTTCCGATTTAGGCGAAAAGCCATAAAATAAATATGATGGAATTTCATGAGTTTCATTATGGGCGTTGAAGTGATAAAAAAATCTTTCTGATGATTGAAGCTAGATTTTATTTATTTTTTTAAGATCTGTATTATTGGAAATAACATTTTATTTTAGACTTATGGTCAAAAAATTCGCAACTTTCTGAGAAATTACTTGTTATATACGTATTGACGACGCTTTAAAAACAAAGCACGGTGAAAAAGTAACTACAAAAAGTAATTGCAGTAAGATATTAACTATTTTTCTCTTTCCACGAAAAATATTTTGTGGTCATTGAGTTTTTTCTATAAAAATATTTAATCCTTCAGATTTATGTTGGTTTCTTTCCCCTTGTAAATCAAAATAGATATCATTCATAACATTTCCTCAAATGATATTATTATCTTCAGTAAATAAAAATATTTTTACTAGGTCATATTTTCTATACTTCTTAAACTTGTGTTGATTTCTTGCAATTTTAAAGAACAACTCATATATCTGTAAAAATTCAACTAGTTTATGACCAAAACCAGCAAAATTAAAATTATAGAATTTGCTGATTACGTGCCGTATAATCATAAAAATACTTGCTTCTTTATGAAAGTTTGTTTTTTACCTTTGTTTTATGGGAAGTTAAAGTCTGTTATTTCTTATGTCATTTTTTAAGTTCTGTTTTATTGGAAATGAAATTTGATTTTAGACTTATGGTAAAAAAAACGTAACTTTCTGAGTAATCATTTGTAATGTATACGTATTGACGATGCTTTAGAAACAAAGCACGATAACGAAAGAACAACAAAAAGTAATTGCAGTTAGATATTAAAAAATTTTCTCTCTGCTCGAAAAATAATTCATAGCCAATATATTGAACTTTTTCCTTATAAATATCATAATCCTTTATATTTATGTTGGTTTCCTTCCATTCGTAAATCTAAATAGATATCACTCATAATATTCCCTCAAATGAAATTGTTATCTTTAGTAAATAAATATATGTTTGCTAAGTCATGTTTTCTAAATTCCTTTATTGATCTCAGTGTAACTTTTTATTTTTGTTTGTATAAACTTATGTTGATTTCTTGCAGTTTTAAATATATAATATATATATATANGCCTAAGAATAAAATTTGTTTAGTAAAATATACTTTGAAATGTTATTTTTATTCATAAAATCCTAATATATATCTATCTATCTATATATATATATATATGTTTGGAAACATTTACCTTGTTTCGCTCTATGGGAATGCCAAAAAGCTGAATGTGCTTCGGTTAAGATTTCGGTAAAATAACAACAAAAAATCGTTTTATATTATGTGATAAATGTGCGATTGTGGTAAAATTTAGTATTTTCATTATTATATCTTAGAGCATGGCATAAAAACCATTTATTCGGTTAAATTTAGTTTTAAGTTTTATATTTATTTCTAAAAGTTTGATAACAATGCGTCTATAACGATAGAAATCAGAATTTCCAATGAACCGTTGCCACACGAACGAAACATTAACGAATTAAATATTGTATATTTTGGTTTTATTATCAGACTTGTTTTTCTCTAAATGGTCACTTCCCTACAGTACGATAATTAATTACCAGATTTTTTTTTCCTGTTAGGTTTATAACTTTTTAAATGTAGCATATTTTTCTGATTGGTCTTATCTCCTTGCTTCAAAACCCTCAAAATCTTTAATCATTAATATATTTTGTATCTCAAATGGGACTCACAAACTTTTCATTTAGACCCCAGAATTTTAAAAGAAAACTCACCCTACTAACTCGCTAACAAACATCACGTGTAATGGTTCATCTTTTTTTCAAAATATTCAGATAAACCTGTAACTTTTACCGTTGTAATATATCTAATGGGATAATAATATTCAGAGAAAGTTATTTTAGAAGCACTCCACATAAAAATTTCATATTTTGCAAACTACCTTTTCCAAAAAATTATTAATATTTTTTTATTTCTCCAAAACATAAACATTTTAACGCTCAAGAAGTTCTGTCATGTTGTGATACAAAAATTTGAATGAACAAAAAAAGTTTTAATGACCTATAAACAGGTAAAATTTTTAAAGGTGCTTTTAACATATTTAAAAGGGATTATTTGCATACTCAATTGTATAAATTTTTACAATAAGCAAGTGTTATGGTATATAAATTTTAATATCAAAGAATAAAAAATTGTGCTTTTCAAAGAAATTCTGGCTTATAGTAATTTTTGACTTTTTAATTCAGTATCATTGCAATATTTTTGTTTATAAGTTATTAATTTCAAAAATGAATAGCACTTAATACCTTTTCGAACAATTTGTTCTTGTCAATTTTCATATTTTTGTTGAGTTTCTGATCAAAAATCAAGATAACTATTAATTTTTAAAAGCTCTATGCTTTGTTAATCCTCTAACATCGATATTCTAAAATATTTTTAGCCTTTCGAATATGTTATAACATATTGTTTGTTTAAAAACGTATTACTTGCATACGTTATATTAAGTTTTTATTTAAAAACATATTAAATGAAGCAACATTATACAGTGTAACAAATTCCGAATTAAAGCACTGCAAAAAACATTAGCACCCTGAGTGCAGCATCCATAAATTCTAAATTTAAAATTTTTACTGTAAAATTTTATAAGGTAATTGTTACAGTAATATTTATTTAACTATAATTATTCAGTGATTTTAGAGTTAAAATTAGTGTAAAAAGTACGGTATACTAGATTATTTGTTTCTTAATATTTTACGGTAAAATTTACTGGCACCCTAAGTTTTGGTACTTTTTACTGTAATTTGATCCGGAATTTTAAAAATAATAAAATTCACGAAATAAACTTTAAAATACTGAGCATAAGTTTAAGGATTTTTTTATATCTAAAACAAGATTTTCGATATATATATATATCACATTGCAATACATTTTCAACTCAAGTGAATAATAATATTTACCTGAGGCGAAGAAATATAAGTTCATTTCCCGGATAAGGAAATAAATTTCTACTAATTTCAGATATGCTGTTGCTTGATAAGTCTAGTTCGTTAAGTTTAAACATGTAACGAAACGCTCCAGGTTCAAGCTGTGATATCCTAGAAACATGAGAACTTTTGTAACATTTCATATAATTAAAAATGAATGCAATGTTTATAATGTACAAAGTGTTTCATAATTATCACCCTTATCAAATATTTATTGAAATAATCTCAAAAATGTATTCGAAAAATTATACAAATAAGAGTTCTCAAATTAATATTTTAGATAAGAAAAAACAAAAACTATACCAAAATCTAAATAAAAGGCTGGACAGAAAACATCAAAATCTAAATGATTCTCCGATGGAAAAAAAAGTTAAAAATCAATCATTGGAAAAACCTAGCAATTTCTTTGGGCAAATAAACTGGATTTGAAATATAAGTTCAGTTTTCCTCAATAATGATTCGAAGACTTTGTATAGAGTATTTGTTTTTCTTTGCCTAAATATTATTTCCCACTTTTTACCTATATGCTTTTTGATAAGTAAAATATACATTAAGGGTGGAAATTACGGAACACCCCGTAAAAATATTAAAATTTAAATTAAAGATAGTTTTTAATTGATGATTTAAGAGCTTAGTTCTGAAACGTGTTAAATGAAATTGTAAAGATCCTTACATTTCGACATTGCGAAAATTTGTATCGATCTGTAAGCTAAAAGTACTTCTATGTCCCAGCAAAAGATCTATCAATAGTTTAGATGAATCACTGCATTATAGAAAAAAATTATATCATCTCTTACGAACAGCTTACTGATTTTTTTATGCATTTTAAATCAGATTTTTTTCAAATTTTTTCAACCAAAGAAATACCATGCATTTTACATTTTTTTATCTGTTCGATAACTATTTCAATTTACATAAAAAATTAAATACTCAAAGCACCACTTAACACATTAAACTAACTACGGATTCCATTTTGAAGATATAATTAATAATTTTTTTTTTAAGGATTTCAGTTCGTAAATGATTTATTGATTATTAAACATTTGTTTTTAGCTTTTTAAGTCACTATATTACGGAGAACACAAATAATATCTCAAAAAAATTTAAAGTCACAAAATTTTGCAAATAAACCCATAGTCACATTTTAACTAATATCATAATATATTTACTTGATTAAAATCTTCATCCACTTTAAAAATATAAAAACAGAAAATCCAATTCGCCATGACGCACTCTAAACTAGGTGCTTATTTTCAAGACTTCAAAAATGGACGCCTATTTTAATCTTTAAAATGGGCACCTGTCCTTGAGCGCTTGAAACACGTCAACTGTTACTTCCAATTAGCATATTTTTAAAGCGGGTGAATTTTTTAATCAAGTAAGATCTTACCTCTTCAGTTTCTTGCGATTAGTTGTTTAATCATAATATTTTATTAAGGTTATTAGCGATTTATTTTCAAAATAATAAACATAATAAACTATAAGCACGGATATTTCATTTGGGACTTTAGAAAACTTTTTTGAAATAAGATTCTGAGACCAATTAGATTCGTTTGCATAATCCTATGAGCGAAAGAATTTTTGTTGAGATGTTCAATCAACAAAAACATACTTACTGATTTTCTTTTAGAATTAGCGACCTCAAGCTTGGAGGAGAATGGTAAAACCACTGTTTGGGTACTTTTTTCAGTTTATTGTAAGAGAGGTCTAAATAATGCAATGCACGTAATTCAGCAATCATTTCCCAACTCAATTCATCACCTAAACTGCATCGTCTCATTGAAAGAAGCTCTAAGTAGGGTTCTTGTCCAAAAAATGCTGATCGTCCAGCTTGAGTAAAGTGACTGATATTTGCATTTTCAACCTGAAATTTAAAATTTCTGTCATAAAATGCTATTTCTTTTGACTTATTATAATAATTATCAACAATATTTGACAGAATTAATGGAAAACAATAATTTTAATTACTAAAAGCCAAAAATACAACATTTTAAACAAAGAATGCCATTGGCAGATGTAGAAAAGCACATTCCCTACCAAATTCAGGATCGAATCAGGGTATAAAATACGGGCACTTTGGGTGCATCATCTGTAAAATCTATTTTTAAAGTAAAATAGTATACCGTATTTTTTTAGAGTAATATTTATTTAATTAGATTTTATAATAAATATCCTTGTAAAAATTACAGTATATCAGATTTTTGTTTCGCAATATGTTCCGGTAAAAATGATTTCTCTGTAAAATGGACCGGCAACGTGAGTGCCTGCACTTATTACAGCAATTTGTTCCGGAATATCTTACAATGCCATACCTGCCAACTCTTCCGGATTTTCCGGAAGATTTTATTTTCATATTTAAAGTGGTAGTAAATATATACTATTTTTTCTTTTATAAATTTAATTTTTTAATGATTTTGATCACCACTATTCTTACAAAAATTAACCACATATATCAATATGCGTTACTATCATGGTTGTCAACTTAAGTTTGCTCAAATACAACGTGTTTGTTTGCTTAAAATTGAAGTTTTAATTCCATTTTAATACCACTGGGAAAAATTATACTGGAAAGGATTAAAAGTTGGCAGGTATGCAATGCATTCTTAGCTTATGGAACCAGTTTTCTGTGTGTTCTTAGGTGGAAAAACAATCTCCTTAATTTCTCAAAGTTTGAAAACTATAAACGTATAAAAGTATGAGTTTATCGTATAATTATTCCTTAAACATATTCCGGTTAAAATAGATTTTATGGTAAAATATACCGACATTCTGACTGCCTCTACTTATTACCGGAATTTGTTCCGGAATTTCTTACAATTCATTCTTATATCGAACCATCTCTTTGTATGTTCGTAATTGGAAAAACAATCTTTTAAATTTGTCCAATTTTGAATACTACAGACGTTTAAAAGTTATAGTTTATCGTATAATTAATCCGCAAAATAAATTCATAAATACGTTCTGGTAAAAATAGATTTTACAATACCGGAACTTTGATTACCTGTATTTTTTATCATAATCTGATCCGGCATGCTTTTAGATGGAAAAACAATATCCCAAATATTTCTAATTTGGAAAACATCAGAGGATTAAAATTCTGAGTTTATCGTATAATTAATAAAAAACTCGTATCATTAGATTGTATAATTACAGTTGAATCACGTAAGAACATGATGTTAAATTTTTACTTTAAGTAAAACTCAAGAAAACAGCAAACTAGCAATTAATAAAATTTCATATGAAGCAATTCCATCTAGAACTTGTGCAGGTTTAATCCTCGCGTCCATTTATGAACAATTACAATTTACTAAATACTGAGTTGTTCACACACAATTTACTAAATACTGAGTTGAATAACTGTGTTAAATATTTTCAAAAATTTAGAAGATAAGTTTTGCGAATTGGGGAGCCCGAGGACTGTATAGAATGTCTACTGGTGGTAAACTGAGTTTAAACAGTTCATTTAGATTGATCAGGCCCACTGAGAAGGTATTCTGGAGTTAATTGGGCTTAGAGACAATGTCTACGTATCTGACGAACTTGTCTGGAGATATTTTCATATCCTTGAAGGTATCTCCAAAAGACATGAAGATACAAAGTATCCTCTTTAATATGAATCTCTAATATTTTTACACAAAAGGGTTAATACATCACGTTAGTTGTTTCTGGAAGGTGAATGCATTGCTGGCATATTTCAGGACCTTTATATTTGGTACATGAGGGCTTCATTAGGATATCATACTCGAAAATACATCATGTCATCATCATAAATCATCAACATACATCATGTAATGTTGATGATTTATTTAAATTGTGGGAGGCATATAGGATAGACGTGCTGAATTGCTGTTGGTAACATAAAGGATTCTTTTGCCTCCATTTCTCCACCCTATTGTGCTTAAGTTGTATGAATTTGAAAGAACTATCCGTCATCTTGATACCCAGATTGCCATTCTCACGTTACTGGAACGCGCAATGAATTTATTACAAGCAACCTACAATTATTTTAATCTAATCATAAGTTTTTAAATTAATGAATATCTATATAACGTAAAATATTAATACATATATTGTCACGAAATTGGGAGGTCACAATTCTCGCATTTGGAATAAGGAATTAAAAACGAAAATATAACTTGCACAAGCAAGTACACTGCAAAAAATTCCGGGTCAAATTGCGGTAAAAAGTAATGACACTCAGGGGGGTGTCAATACTTTTTAGCGTAAATTTTACCGGGACATGTTTTACATTAATAATTACCGTAAAAGCACTGAATCACTCTAATAAACTATAAAAATTAGGATATAGATTAAGATTTTGCGGTAAAAATAGATTTTATGGGTGATGCACTAAAGGTTTCGGTACTTTATGTCATAATTTGATCCAAAATTTCTTACAGTATAAGCAGTTATCAGCAGATAAACGAAAACATCTTATATATCATATATATTTAAGCGTAAACCATTTCCATTTAGGTATGTCTTTTCAATGACCTTAAATGAAACACAAAGGCAAAATTTCTTTTCTGTGAAACAGCTTTTTGCCACATTTTTCAAGAAAGAGATCTTTCAGTTCAATATATAGTTTAATTATTGTTATATCTTCAATTCAATCGGAATTATAAATTTTCAGACTATCCCACTTCCATGGTGCTTATTATGAATATCATTTCTGAAATTTAAATCAAAATTTCTATTTTAATTCTATTCTCCCTTATTTTCTTTGGTTTTGGTTTGTTATATTCGATGAGTCAACGATAGAATTAAGGATTTGAAACTGTTGCCTGACCAAAGATTAAAATTCAGAAATGTATGATTAGAAATTCCAAATGTAATTTCCAAGAAGTATTAAAATGCGTATAAATAAAACGTATACAAATTAAATTGTAATATGAATGAATTTAAAGAAACATAGTACTATTGTTTCGGATACATTAGAATAATAATCAAATAACGCAGTAATTTTTTTAGAAAAATATAAATTTTAAATTCGAGGTAAATAAAAAAATCGGTACTTAAGAAAAATCGCACCCAGACATTGTTTATAATAACGCTGCAGAAATTTTAAAAATTACGAATGTTTTTTAGAAATATTTTAAAAATTTATATTAATAAAATCGTTGAATATCTTACCTGGAATTCGTGAACAATGTTTTTGAAGAAAAGGTTGCTTGGAAGATAATCGATGTTGGGTGCTCTGAGAAAAAACTTATGAATTGTGCGTCCACAAAAACTGTCACGCAACATTGTTGTAAGCTGAGGCAACTCTAACGATTCACAAAAGACGCTCATTTCTCCATTCTGGTATTGACATTCACAAGGAGCAATCGATGCACTATTTGGACACTCACTTTTTGTCCAATGTACCAACAATAGAAGAAATATCACCAGAAGTCTCATTTTAAATCCCATGTTTTTAACTATAAACAAAATATCGGGTTTAATATCACTATTATTAGTTCATGCATTGCGATAGATTACTTGTAGTAATATATATTGTAGTACAAAATACAATGTATACCTTTGAACTTTTAGGTAACAGCCGTAAAGGAGATTGCCTTTTTAAAGCTTTAGAAAAATTATGCATTAAAAATATTAGTTGGTCTCATTATTCGACTCTTAAATTCAATTTTTTTTTTTGAAAAAAGCGAATGCAATTTATAAAGAAAAGCTATATTAAAATGATCATTGTATATCTCTTGCAAAGTTCTGTGTGGTAACCACTTAACAGATTAGTGCTCATTTTTATTAACTTTGTTAAATTAATATAATGTCTTACTGATATACATAATTTATTATTGAAAAACTTGATGAATATTTACAAAATTACTTCTTTCTTGCACATGAAATCTATTTAAACGGGAATTAACACCAATTTAAGATGGTGATTTTCTAACTTCATTAAGTATACTAAGCAGTCAACAGGTAACGCCACCTGCTGTCAGTAACTGCAAAATAATGAAAGTGGCCCGACTAATAAGCCGGCCCAATAATAAATAGCAAATTTCTTTTATAAATAACAATAACCGTTGGTTTGTCTATTTTAAAAAAATATCCCTACTATTTATGAATAAAAATAAGTATTAAGTAATATATATTAAAAATGCATTTGTAAAAATAAATTTTATTATTAAAATTAATTTAAATTGAGTACATGCAAATCAAGAACAAGTAAAAGTCGTTATGCCCAACCATGTGATTTAAATCAGATTTAATTGGATACCTGAAATCAACGTCACTCGTGTGTGTCGAACCTGATTGGCTTCTGAATCACAAATACCACGATTTATATACGATGACGTCACTTACAGGTATCGAATTATCAATAAGCAACAAGATAATTCAAATTCTTATTAATATTAAGAGCTAATTTTTTTAAAAGTTATCTATATATATATAACTCAATTATATTAACATAATTATGTACTGATATTTGTATAATTAATTTAAGCAATTTGAAGCTTCATAAGTAAACTCATAGATAAACCATATAAACATTATTTACTGTCTGCAGAACATAAACATCAAGCCACCACTGTTTCAAAAATGAAAGTTGTGAAGTTCAAATTTTCGCCATAACTATTTCTTGTATTCAAGGAGGTAATCGGGCTAACTAAATTATTTTGCGTAATATCATCACGAATTAGAGCTTAAATAACAAATATAATTTACATACTTTGTTAGATAACGTGTATTTGTTTTAACTATAATATATTGCGTCGCTAAGTAAATAAAGGCTCTATATTTGTTCCCTATATTTTACTTTATATTATTATTAAACTTAATTAGAAAAGTACTTTTAAAAAAATATTAATATTTACGACGGTTTAACTGTTTCATAAATCTAGGAAATATAAACATAGACTTACCCAACAGCTATCATTTTTTGGCTCGAAGTTACTCTGGTTTAAACAACGGCTAAACATTTTTCCACAATGAAAAAAAAGTGTTGCTATAGAAACTATCATCTACGTTTCATTATCAGTAAAAGATATACCAGGCTTAGGAGGTTTGTTAATCTTTTTTTTTATTAAACTTGTTCTGTTTTATCGAAAGTCTTAATTAGTCTTATATTAAAACATTTCATTAAAAGAATTGCGTTGTTTTAATTTTTATTATTTTTTTATGTTCGGTTGAAAATGAAAAATTCTTCGGATTGTACCTTTTTTGTTTTCATAGTTTTTTTCTGTACTTCTTTAATTTCAATTCGATTGTTTGTCTGTGAACTTGAGAAAAAAGCATTTTAATAGTTATTAAATTAAATAAGAGTTTTAGCACATGCATAAGTTGACCGCCTTGAAATATGGTAATACTTAAAAAAAGCATTAAGAGAAATAATATTTTAGCTTGTTCACTTTATATTTATTAAACTTTAAATTTTCATATTACAACTGCATCTAAAAAATTATAAACACGAAAAGCATATAATATCATGTTTATAGGGGCCATAATATATCTCCTCCAGATCAAGAAGGTATAACTATTTATGCAAACGGAGAATAAAATCTGAAAAAATCTCCATACTTGGATGTTAAGGACATTTGTAGTGAAAAATACCAGATTTCCAGAAATTATACCAAGGTACACGGTATTTAAATTAGTCATATGGTAATTTTTCCGTTCGATGCTGTTACTGTTTACCAGACGCTCTACTTTCCAAAATTTTAGTTCCTTTTAGAATATATTTAGTAAAATACGAAGTAAATACGAAGTAAATGTAACCAAATAAAAGGTTTTTATGCCTTGATTTCAAGTATCACGAAAAAATTACCAAAATGATCTTCAGATTTATCAATTATTTTATGATTTATTTGGTAATTTTAACCTTTTGATGTCCTTGCCTTTTACCCAAAAGAAAGGTAATAATCTGTTTACACGTCTGCAGTTAAATGATAATTTATTTAAATGGTTGAAGGGAATTAGATGACTGTTAACTATTTCTTCTAATATAATTTCTCAATTATAACAATGTTTGAAGGGACGCGAATTATGGCTTTAAATATTTAACTGAATTGTTTTAAAGGTACTGAACTCAGATATATTATGCTATGGTGATTATGCTAAATTGACGGATGTTAACACAGGTGGGCATGGGAAGAAAAAAAAATATTCTGCAGTTATCTTTGCTCTGTTTTTCTCATTTTTATGCTATTTGTTCTGCAGTTTGATAAGAGGCAAGAAATTATATGCATTAAACGCATTATCATGTATATGCATCTAAACCGAGTTTACTTATTTATTTTCTATTACACATCCATGGTTACGCCTTGATTCAAACCCTCATCCTGCATTTTATATAGCATTAAGCGGATAGACAAGATTGGTGTAAAAACTATTAAAAAAACGTTATTATTCTAAGAATATTTTTTTTATTTATTGTTATACAGATGCAGGATTTGCTTGCTATTTACTAAGTATAATTTATTATAAGTCCTAGTCAAGTTGTTGAGCAGATAGCAAAAGACGGATGAACATGAAAAAGATGCATCGTTTCAAAAGTTTAAAAAAATTGAATTGGCAAAATTTAAAGATAAAAAATTAAATCCCTAATTAAAGCTCGCTATATTCATAGTATAAATGCTGATGTAAATACGAACTCGTACTAGAAATAAATAAGCATGCGAACCTAAGTTGCAAAAAATTTAAGATATACTATATTTAACCAGCACAAGTAATTTTAAACGCAAATATGCGTATTCTTATTCGTAAAAACGGCATTTTTATTTCAAACGTTTCAAATTTATTAAACTCTTATAACTCTGTGTACTCATTTGAAGAACTATTAAGTCGCAAACCTTGGATCTAAAGATTTGAAAAAAATTGTAACATAAAAAAATATTTCGTTAAAAAAAGTTAATAAAGTTGATTGGTCTTTAAAAGTCCATTTTAATTAATATAATGATGCTTCAAAGAAATGTAAGTACCGATTTTAACTTTTTTAATAAATACTCATTTACTTGATCAGGCTATCTTTGCAGCAGTATCATTAAGATATTATTTTTTTCAATTGGTTTATTTATTTATTTCGCTAGTCAACATATTATTTACAGCTTTAGATTTGCTTATTCTTTTAACTTCAATGAAATCTATAACAGTTTTAAAAAAACTTACAAATAAAATGCTTTTATTTGCAAAGGAACGTTACTATTCTCTATTACTATTATTATTGATAACGCAATGATAATTAATAATGGAGAATAAGCACACAGTTTTACTACATAAAAATTACCCATTTGTTTTATTATTCATCAAAAGAGTCATTAAGCTAATTCGTATATTTTTTTGCTTAAAATTTTAACATATGTTGTACTAATCATTTTAATAACTAACTCACCACGATACCCATTTTCATCATATCTGAAAAATTCCTCAAAATATCCAAAACCTGAAAGTGCAAACATGTTCAGTGGCATAAATTAAATTCATTCCCACTTGAAAACTATGAGAACTATGAATTTATACTTGCATGTTAACTTGATTTTTAACTACATGAAGTTATTTTTGCATGAAATTAACTTGGGATAAACGAATTTTATGATTATGGGCAAAAATTTTTCAGTTCACCTTAAAAGTTCTCAAGATATGACGAACTACGCAAAAAGTGACATTAACATTATGGGATACAGATTTAAAGATCGCTCTCTTGACCAAACTATCTGGACCACATTTTCCAGATTACTTCTACTCTTTCTATTTTGGGGGTCAGAAATCAAAATCTGACGGGGGGGGGGGAAATGTACGTTTTTGTGTCTGATTTCCTAATTTAAATTTTCGTCTACACTAATTAATTGTACTCAATGTAGTTTACTCAAATGTAGTTTACAAAGTTGCTTTATGCATAACAAGCAGTTAATAAGGTTGCGTTAATTAATTTTGAAATGTTGCTAAAATAAAAAAATACTCACCATCTGAAAACCAAAAACTTTTTCAAAACATTCTTTCAACTAAAGATGGTTTTTAAAAAGAGCTTCTCCCAATTCCGGAATCCTAAAGACAATATTAAAAAATGATTTCACCACTTACTAAGTAACTTTAAATATTTTGATTAATTACTTAATTTTATTAATTACTTTTGGTTTATTATTTCATATGGGCAACTCAAAGCAATTAATGTTCACTGAAGATCAAATATACCCATGGAGTGAAAATACGCAGGCAGCAATGTGGGTGATCCTGTTAAAGTAAAGTCTCTCTACGTCAAAAGGAGGGTATCCCTCAAGGAGAGCCGTGTCGTCAAGAAGTGCAGGACCATCAAACACGTGGAGAGGAGTCAGTGGTGTACCTGAGCAATTGTGGTAAGATCGAAAAGTTCTTAATCCATCTCAGTTGAAAGTTCTGCAGTTAACTGATCGTTAAGACACGGTTCCCAGCAGATCACCGAAGTCAAACTTCACTGACTGCGGTCAGTGTGCGGGTGGGTGACCACTTTGATTAGTCTGTTTAGGGACTGAGGGCGTGTGGTATTGGTCCTCGTTAAACTGTTTTACCGAAAAGTGCTCGACTTCGCGTGCAGGTCGTCACGCTACCGAAGCGGGGGTGCCATCCCCTCTGCAGAGGATCAAAATTGTGATGGCATTTCTTCGGATGATCCTCAGGGATGCTTCCCAGACAGTCGCCAATGGCCCATTGTGCAGCTCTAGTGTGACGTAAATGAACAACAACAACAACAATATCTGTTGAATCAATTTTAAGAATATTTATGGAATAAAAAGTTGGAAAAAAAGGGTGGAGTTAAAATTTATTGTTATGAATAGCCTATTTTCCAGAATTGCTCTTCTGGCGGTATAGCAAATGGCCAAAATTGGGAGAATGTTAATCCCCTTACTAAGATTCCCTATCTCATAACATATAAAAACCGGTTTTGCTATGCGGGGAAAACTGCTGGTTAAATTCTGACTTTTTGCTCGCAGAACCGTCAGTGGGTTAAAAATTTACATAAAAATGGCTTTATGTAAAAATGGTAAATTTAATATTTTACGTAATACGTCCTAATAATATGTATTGATAATAAAAACATCTAAGCCTACAGGTTACTAAAAATGACTTAAATTCAAAATTCACCCTTAAAAAACTATAGTAATACATGTTAAATATTTTAAAAGGAAGATACTTGCTTTTTTTTGTAAACAAACGATTAAATTAATAGTTGGAATATAAAACCAAACTTAAGTTTAAAAAAATTGAGAAAATTTAAGAATATGTTTAATACATTTTACAAAATATTTTAAAAATTTAAGAAGAGTTAATTTTACCAAGAAAATTACTAGAGTTTAAAGGAAGAATGGGAAAATTCTTATATGAGTAATATTTATGCCAAATGTTTCCAATCAATTATGCTGAGCTTTTAAAATTTTAAATGCATAGGATGATGTTTAAAATGTGGTAATTTATTCAGACAAGGAAAATAAAATGTTTTCATTTCACTTCTGAGTAGACGAGAGAAAATTTACGTTTAAAGCCATACAGTTACTCTCTGTAGAATAATACTCTCTATAGAATATACTCCAGTTTAAATGAATGAAACTGACATCAGTAGCAGATTCTATCACCATTTCTCACAATATGCATAGATAAATGAATGAATATTTGAATTAAGTAACACATCTATTATTCTAATTAAACCTAATTTATCCAGTAAATAATTAAGCCTATGCAAATTAATCGGAAAGGATTACTCAGAGATTTGAAGCAACTGAAGAAGATTTTGAAATTGCATTTTGAAGCTCAAGTTAATTAAGAAAGGGATAAATTAATGTTTGATGTATTTTAAAATTCAGTAATGACACTTTGAAAAAATGTCGAATGAATCGTAATTGACGTTTCAGCACCGTATTATTTAAAAAGAACGTATGAATTAGAAAGTTCGCAAAAGCAATACCATAATAATTTTGAATAAATAAAAATAATTAGAAAATTTGCTAATTAGATAATTAGAACACTTAAAAATTTCTCGTAAGCAAAGTAGTGTAAATT